CTCTTTAAAGTCTTGAAGTTGAAGAGTGTTGTGATCGGTCAGTGGAAGTAAATAGTGACCAATTGACAGCAGCTCTTTAAAGTCTTGAAGTTGAAGAGTGCTGTGATCGGTCAGTGGAAGTAAACAGTGACCAATTGACAGCAGCTGTTTAAGCTAATCCTCTAATATTTATTGAGAAATTAGCTTCGATGATTGATCTCTATTTGCAAAAATGCAAAAGCAATACAACAAACGCAATTACTTTTACGCCAATATAATATATGCATAAAATAATGGTAAAGCTAAAATGAATTGAAATGCATTTAACAATTTTAAAGCAGTATGGTAATTTATAAATTTTTTTTATGAGAAAAGAGAAAAAGAAAAAATGAACGAAACAAATTTGCAATTAATCATATCTCTAAATGAAATCCATTTATGGAAAAAAGGATCAGTGCAAACCTGAAAGCTATCAGGTTTGTTCCTGAAACAGGAATTTGAATCTGTTAACCGTTAGTAATTTAAGCCAAATAAACAATGCCTTCCTTACTAAACATGCGAAGTTTACAGAGAATTAGCCATTTTATGGTTATAAAATCTTCATTGAATTTGAATGGACAGATATCGATTTTGATTTATTTTAATATCAATAAACCATGAAATTGTAATAGTTTGCAAGTTCTACAATACAGTGATTTTCAACCTTTTCTTGACCAATGACCACTTCAATTTTTTATTTGTAGCAGTGATTGCAATGTTCAAAAATAATAAATTCTGCTAATCTAAAAATAACCTTTAATTGATAAGAACATCAGGCACTGATAAGAACATTCCCTGCCTATTTTCTACTCATCACACTGTCATCTTCGCTAACCACCTGTAATCTGTGAATGACCATTTAGGATATCACTGTTACTGTATTTTCCATTGTAAAAACTTTTGACTCATCAAGTATAGCAGATTTGAAACTGACCAATCAATTGATATTTCCTAAACTTTACTTTATGATATTGGTATTAATCAGATGCTTGATTCATCAATTTATCATTGAGCCTTTTTTTTTTATCTTTTTTTAGTAACATTTAACAAATGTGATGAAATTTATTGACCAAAAAGTAGTACAACAGTCTTAGTGAACGCATCCCAGATGAATTGTATACATTTGCGCCAAAAAAAGTAATAGAACAATTTGCTAACCTTAAAAAGCTTTCCTTCTCCCTGTATAATTTTCCGGAAAAACCGGATCTAATCAGGAATAATTCATGATCATAAATTGGAAGAATGGTTCCTTATTTTTTTTTTTTTTGATTAACTTAATTAGAATCTATTGTTATTAACTGTTCCATCGATCTTATGGTATAATTTATTACAAACAACAACTATTTGTATAATTTCTCATTACTTATGTTAAAGTTTTTATTCATTTTTTATTTCGAGAAGAGCTCAAAAAAATGTTTGAAGTTTAGAAGTTTACAGATTAAAATTTTAGCTTAACTTAATTCCCTCATTCTGTTAGCAATTAATTAACTATGCTAATTAGCCCTGCTAAGAAAGAAATTATTTAATCCTAAAACAATATGACATTTATTTAAAGTATGAACTAAAAATGAATGCATAGAGATAATCGATTAAATATTTATGGAATTAAAATTTATGTTAATGGCGGAAGTCTTTTGTTGATAATATCTTCAAGTGACATCAAATCAATTTCTACGCCAAAATAATGATGTACTGATTAGATAATTCGCTGATTAATCAACTAATCAACCTGGATTAATTAATTATCAACTGGATTAATTAACTGTCAACTGATTTCAGGACTACTTTACAAAAAAAAAAAAAAAAAAAAAAACAAAATGAACAATTAAGCAATGATCAAAGACAAGGACAACTGTCATATACTATCATACTTTACAATTGATGGATAACTAATATGCAAATAATGCAAGACAAAATTATTGGGAAAAAATTTTCATATACTTCAAACATTTATTTAATTGGTCGTTTATTTAACTTCCTAATTGCTTAGTGACTAATTTAAACTATCAATTGATTAGATTAGTCGATTAGCTTAACGATTGATTGTGATGGCAAATAATTTGGTAATGATAAGCGTTTTTTTTTTTTGCCTTCTTTAAAATATAATTAACAAAACTCTTTGCATTGTTAACTAAATTATCAAAAAAAAAAAATGCCCGAATTGATAAGGCATATCACTGATAAGTTTTAATATTTGATCTATTTTTTAAAATTAATTTAACAAATGATTAATTTAATATATTTAGTGTTTTTAAAAGGAAGATGTGAAATTTTATGAATGAAAGATAGGTAAAAGTTTGTTGAAGCGTTAACGATAGCAAATATAAAACCTAATTAATAGCATTACTGTAACAGGATTCATCAACTCTTCAAATTTCAATAATAACTACCATTTACTTACTTCTTCTTTTTTAATACTGTACGATCATTCATCACTTCTTTTCTTTAGCAGGAATACTGTATTCGATATCTTTTCCAATATTTTTTTATGCTAATTTTCTTTGCAAAGTTTCAATTTTTGAATGAATTGTTTATTTCTAATGCTTATTCTTCGGTCATTTGCGCCCATTTTTTTTTTTCTTTTTGATCTGTTTTCATATATGAGCTAAAATGAATTCAAATACTTTTTGCTAACTGTTTTTCTTTTTTTTTTTTTTTTTTTA